GCTCAGAAGAGGACTCACTGGGATTTGCGTACCACAGGTCTTGCCTCTTACCCCCTTCTAACCTCAGAGACCACTGATTCAAGCCAGGGGCACCCAGCATGAGATGCAAATTACATAGAAGAGAGCAAGAAAGAAAGACTTTGCTGGGTTAAAGGGAGCCTTTATGCAGACTTCTCAGCCCTCACTTGCAATCCCTCCAGCTTCAGGGAGCTGAGCCTTGCAAAGTTGCAGGGGCATCACGTGAATGCTGAGAGAAACAGCAGGCTGCTCCTGACCCATTCAGTGTCGAGCTGTGTTACTGGTATTGTTCTGCTAACTTGCTAAATAGCTATAATTAAAACGGCTATTATCATTAATTATGATCTTCCCTCTTCTGATTGGCAGATTGGTGCTTTTACCAAGTTTCAAAGAGCAGCATTTCTGTATGTTATAGGAAGCAAGGGAGATAGATGGGGCTGAATTGTTCTGACTCTGGAGCAAAGGGCACAGTGGCACTGTCGGGCACAGAAAACTTTTATGCCCATGGGGCGGGCTCCCCTGCCAGCTCATTCAGACACAAAGGGTTGCTGGCTGTCTCCCTGACTACTCCATGTGCTGTTACTAGTTGAGAATTGCAGTCTATACAAAGTAACATGATGGCACTAGAAGAATGCATGATATTCCACAGGAAAGAATGAGGTGAAAACTCTGTCTGACTTAAGGCTCAGCTGAAATGCCACTTCCTCTGTGAAACTTTTCCTAATTTCTCACCCTTCACTTCCCCTTCCCTTTCTCTAGGTCAAAAGGAAGCTCTCTCATCATTATCTCCATTGAATGTACTCCTCCCCTTTCCCTGGTCTTAAATCTCAAATTCTCTATAATTTCTACCACCAACAAAATGGAGGGAGAAACTAGAGACTCCTAAATCCAGTGAGTCCCAGCGGTGGGTCATGCCCTTTTGTAAAGTTCTGCCCTCCTTTCAAGAAAGGAATCTGGTAAAGACCCCAACCACATCACAGTCCCCACCAATTTGTCCATCTGCAAACAGGGACACTTTTTGAGGTTGTCTAAATAAACATAAACATTTCCAAGTTTGCCATTAAATGCAAAAGTTTATGAAGGATTATCAATATGAGAGCCTTGGTGTCCCCTCATAGCAAACCTTCCTTAAGGAAGAACACCTTCCAGAACTGGTTATCAGATCTGAAAATGTTAAAATTGGGAGAATAAAAGCATACAGCAAGAAAGCAAGTGACAAATTGCAAATAGGTCAAAGAGAAACTTCATTTATTTATAAAAATTAGAAAATACCAAGTAGGTTTCACCTCATCTGTGGAACAGACATGAGGTATCCAAGGGGCTATTTATGTTTTCCTAATACTAGAGTTCCCTTTACAGAATGCTCAGTCACATTTGAATTTCAGATAAAGAAAAAATAAATTTTCAGCACATGCTAAAATGTTGCATCCCAGATATTGCATGGAACTTCTTTATCTGAAACTCAAATGCAACTGGGCATCCTGTATTTTTATTTGCTGAATCTGGCAATTCCAACTAATATCCAAACACTTCCTTGATCATAAATGGAAAAACAAGTAAGCTTACTGTTGATATTGACAGGGAATTTTGAGAAGGAGGAGGAGCAGCAGCAGCATTAAAGAATTCCTTACTTCTCTGTTAGGAAGGTCAATAGGATGGGGACCCCACCCATTCTCCCACCTCCCCCCACCACACACACATAATGCAAAGCCTTGACTAACTCCAGCTACTGAGGTCTGTTTACCATTTCCCAATCTCTCTGGCCTCTTCCTTACTTGAGACCTTTGCTTTAAGCTTAAGTATTTCACTGCTTGAATCTCTATCTGCCCCCATCTCTGTCTGATGAAATCTGTCAAGGCCTGTCTTAGGCCAGCTTCTCTAAAAAACCTTCTCAGCCTTCCCAGACTGTCCATCTTCTGGCCTCTGCCCAGTGATATTCATTAGTACATGATGAGGAAGTTCTGAGGGGGTGCTGAGTCTCTTTCTTCACTGTACCCCTCCAACAGTGTTAGCACTGCACCAAGCACACAGCAGCACCAGGTAGAAGATGTTGAATGAAATGCATTTCTCTCCTAAGAGATGAATACAAAGATGCTCCAACTCAATGGGATAAAAACTAGGCTCAGGTCTACTTACTCCTTTAAGACAGACAGAGGTTTCTCTTAGGCCAAATAATTACATTTGAGCCTGTTGCCAAAGAACAATTCATCACAGGTGTGCAACACCCTGTGTCCAATGCCTCTTTGGTCGCCTGCATCTTGATCTTTGTTGGCCCTTCCACCAGAGACTAGATATAGAAAAATACGAAAATCAAAACACTGGCTGAAGTACCAACCATGTCCATTTTCTCCCAGGAGGGAAGAGAAGGAAGGAAGAGTACCCTGAGCTTACAGTACCTTGTCTGGCCTGAGGGCAAATGCACCTCAACCATGTGCCATCAAGGGAAATTCAAATCAGAGAGACCTATATTTAACTTTGGGGTAGTTTACCTTGAGTACGTTAATCTATTATGCTTCAGTTCCATCATTTATAACATAGGAATAATTAGACCGCACTCATAGGGTTGTTATGTAGAGTAGCTGATATAACACAGTAAAGCACTTAACTCAAAGCTTGGCAGTGTAGACATTTAATAGATGTCAGTTTTCAAATTCTTATTATAAGACTTGCGATGGTTTATGCAGTATAGATGAGAAGAGAAAGACTGAAAGAAGAGCATTCCCACTTGAAATCAGGAACATCTTAACCCACCCTAGCATTTGACATTTCTCTCTATCCCTCCCTGAGTGATTTACTGTTATTTTGTCTAGTGATTCTCAGAATTTTATTGGGCATATAGTTCATCTGGTATAGACACATTATAGGTAACAAATTACCACAAAAATGTAGTGGCTTAAAACAACAACCATTTTATTATATCTCATGAATTCTGTGGTTTAGAAATTCAGGGAAGGCTTAGCTTAGGTGATTCTTCTGCTCTCTGTGGCCCAACTAGAGTTGCTTGGTGTTATTCAGCGGGCAGGTGGGCTTGTATGGAGGGCCCATGATGGCATCACTCATATGTCTTGCACTTTAACAAGGGTGGCTGCAAGACTAGGCTTAGTGGAGACAGATTACCAAAATGCCCTGATGACTATCTGAGGGTGCTCAGATTTCTTACGAGGTAGCTAGTTTCTCCCACAGTGAGCATCTCAAGAGAATCAGGAGAAAACTACGTGGTCATTTTTGCTAGGACAAACAATCCTAAAATTTATATGGACTCAGAGAAGACCCAGAACTGCCAAAGCAACATTGAAGAAAAAGAACAAAGCTGGAGGAATAACCCACCCAGACTTTAGACAATACTCCAGAGCTACAATAATTTAAGCAGCATGGTATTGGCACAAAAATAGACATATGGCTTAATGGAACAGAATACAGAGCCCAGAAATAAACCCACACACCTATGGTCAATTAATCTTTGACAAAGGAGACAAGAATACACAATGAAGAAAAGACAGTCTCTTCAGCAAGTGGTGTTGGGAAAACTGGATAGCAGCATGCAAATCAATGAACTTAGAACACTCCCTCACACCACACACAAAAATAAACTCAAAATGGCTTAAAGACTTAAATATAAGACAAGATACAATAAACCTCCTAGGAGAAAACATAGACAAAACATTCTCTAACATAAATCTTAGCAATGTTCTCCTAGGGCAGTCTACCCAGGAAAAAAAAAAAATAAGAGCAAAAATAAACAAATGTGACCTAATTAAAATTAGAAGCTTTTGCACAGCAAAAGAAGCCATAAATAAAACAAAACAACAACCTACAAAATGGGAGAAAATATTTGCAAATGATGTGACCGACAAAGGCTTAATTTCCAGAATATATAAACAGCTCATACAATTTAATAAGAAAAAAACAAACAACCCAATCCAAAAATGGGCAGAAGACCTAAACAAGCAATTCTCCAATGAAGATATACAAATGGCCAACAGGCACATGAAAAAATACTCAGTATCACTAATTACCAGAGAAATGCAAATCAAAACTACAATGAGGTATCAACTCACACCAGTCAGAAATGACCATCACTCAAAAGTCCATGAATGATAAATGCTGGAGAGGATGTATAGAAAAGGGAACCCTCCTAACACTGTTGGTGGGAATGTAGTTTGGTGCAGCCATTATGGAAATCAGTATGGAGATTCCTCAAAAAACTAAAAATAGACTTAACATATGATCCAGCAATCCCACTTCTGGGTATATATCTGGAGGGAGCTCTAATTCGAAAAGATACATGCACCCCAATGTTCATAGCAACACTGTATACAATAGCCAAGACATGGAAACAACCTAAATGTCCATGGACAGATGACTGGATAAAGAAGTTATGGTATATATATATATATAAAAATACTACTCAGCCATTAAAAAGAATAAAATAATGCCATTTGCAGTAACAAGGATGGACCTAGAGATAATCATTCTAAGTGAAGTAAGCCAGAAAGAGAAAGAAAAATACCATATGATATCACTCATATGTGGAATCTAAAAAAAAAAAAGATGTGAATTCATCTACAAAACAGAAACAGACTCTCAGACATAGTAAATAATCTTATGGTTACCAGGGAAAGGGGGTGGGAAGGGATAAATTTGGGAGTTTGAGATTTGCAAATGTCAGTCACTATACATAAAAATAGATTTTAAAAAAGTTTCTTCTGTATAGTACAGGGAACCACGTTCAATATGTTCTAATAACCTTTAATGAAAAAGAACCTGAAAATGAATATGTGTATGTATATGCATGACTGGGACACTGTGCTGTACGCTAGAAACTGACACATTGTAACTGGCTGTACTTCGGTAAAAAAATTTTTTAAAAACTACATGGCCATTTCTGACCTACTCTCAGAAAGTCATACAGGGTTACTTCTGCAATAAATAACTATTGGTGAAAATTGTCACAAACCTGCCCAGATTCAAGGAGAGTGGACATAGCCTCCCCACCTCTCAAGATTTGGGACCCAATTTTTAAATTGCTACCTTGAGAATCCTATTAAAATGCAGATTCTGGTTCAGCAAGGTAGAGGGGGAGACCTGGGATTCTGAATTTTTAACAATTTCCCAAATGATGCTGAGACTGTCGCTCCATAGATTATATTTTGAATAGAAAAGGTTTCGACAACCCATTATGTTACATCTTCCAATGCACCAAAATCCTGTTTGTTACTGTTTCTGTTGTCTCATTCCGTAATAGCTTCACTTCATTTAGAACTCAGCCAGCCAATCTTTTCTCAGGCTTACTGGAAGGGCTAATATGTTCAAAGATCTTTATTTCAAAAGAAAGAAACAGCCTTGTGTTTAGATTTCACAGGGAACTTAAAACAGCTAAAGGGAAAACCTTTGGTAAATGAGGATGTCAGGTTAGGTAATCATAAAACCTTCTGGGGACCTTTTTCTCCACCATCCATTTGAGAGTGATACATCCAAAAAGGTGATTATGAGAAGAAGACTCACTGATGGTTTATCACTTCTTGGAGACTCAGATTATATCCATGACTCAGCTAGTTGCTGACCAGTAAATATGGATGCCTTGCGTTCTGGTCATACAAGTCAGTGACCCAATTATCATGGCTGTTCTTGGGTGTGGAGGGCTGGGCCTGTAGGCATTGAGCACACAGTTTAATCAATTATTTTTTTTCTATAAAAAAGGAATCTATGTATTAGCTAATGATCAATAACTATATTAACTAACATTTTCTTATTTAAGGAATGATACATTTCAAATCAGGATTCGAAGAAATCTAAACCTCTAGATACAATACAGAAACTTCTAGACTAACTCTTGATTGTTACAATTACCACCTCAGTAGCACTTTTTTTTTTTAACAGACATTGCCCTTTGTTCAACCAAAATAAGCACAGGTTTTGCCCTGTGTAGAACTTTCAGGGCCTATGCTGCTCCAGCTACTGAACCAAGCTTAGAAAACAGAGATGCATGGGCACCAATGGCCATGGAGTGTGCTGTAACATGCCCAAAAGGAATCACAAGTGTCTCTTTCCAGTATGCCACAGTAGCTCACGAGTACTCTTATTTCACAGAAGTCAAAGTTTAAGACATGTACGACTTCCAATTACTTTCCCCAAGAGGACTTCCTCTTACTATATCCACAGTCTTTGCATCTTTTATACTTTCATTTGAAAACCACTTGGAAAAAATACCAAGTTACAGTTACAAATCAGTTTCTAAGACAGTTTCATTACCATTAAAAATCCCTACCCTAGCATTTCCTACTGATTCCTGTGAAACTCACTGTTGGTATAGAAGAGGAATTTGCATGCTGTTTGTTGTTTGTAACAGAACATTTTGTCAAGTGAAGTCCTAAGAGAATGTCAATGTATAAAACTAATGAAAGTGGGTAGCTATGCTGAAATCAAAACAGAGGGCATCTCCATCTCTAGACAGTTTGAAAACCACACAGTATAAGTTAATTTAAACCAAAAAGCAACTTTGAATTAAAAAACTAATCTGGTAGCCTCCTTCGAAAAAGTTCTCTCTTCTTCCTTTGTTAACATTTAAGAGTACATTCGAGTAGAGCAAAAGGTTTCAGAGCTGTACAACTGTTTCTCTGTGGAAGAGAAAAAAGAAGGAGATCAAGATCTATCAAGAAAGAGAGAGAGGGAATATGAATGAATGAATGAAAGGAAGGAAGGAAGGAGAAAGAAGGAAAGAAAGGAAGAAGAAAGTGGATAGATGGTCAGGCAAGGTAGATAAAGACCCTCTGATCAAGATGGGCTCAAGTACTCCTAGGCCTGGATGATCAAGCAGTCATTTCATCTCTTTATGACCCAGCTTGTCAAAGGAAAAGAACACCAACCAGCTAGCCAGCTTTTGCTGGAGTCTTTCATGAAAATAAGCTGATAAAACAAGACAACAGGATGCCTTACAAATACATCATAGGGAAATGTTTCCTAAAACATAGACATCCTAAGGTTTTTTAGTCCCCTAAACAAGTATTTCCAGGCCATTACATTTTCAGGTGGAGCACAGGTCAACCTAAACTAGGGGAGAAGCAAGCTTTGCTCTCTGTCTTAACCAGGCATTCACTTTGGCGAGAGACCCCTTACCCCATGCTACTCTGCAGTGTGCTTTAGCTGTTCTGTGTAAGTGTGCCTTTTCCCTTCTCCATCCAGGCTGTATGTCACTAGAATGAAGGGACCATGTCATCTTTGGTATCCTCTGCTAGTTCCCAGCGTAAGCAGTGTTTTAGTATGAAAAAGTGGGATTTTCCAAGTCAAATAAGCCTGAGTCTGCAACCCCAAATTCCTTTGATAGAAATACTGATTTCTGTGCACTGGATTTTCGACAAGTCAGTTTGAAGTTCTATCTTTTGTTCTCTCTGCTATAAAGTAGCTATGGGCTTGATACTCCTCCTCTCCTGCTCTGGAACCATCAAAACAAATATTTTAGGTAGGTTCTGCCTAAAAAAGGCAGAACCTGTCTTCAAGAAAGGAAGTGGCAGTCAGCTTTATTCCTATTTCCTTCTAAGGAAAACTACCGCCAATGCCTATATTTGAATAATATTAAACAGTTTACAAAATATTTATTTATTCTCTCCTCAGACTCCCTCAGAATCTCTGTGAGGTGGGCAGGGCTGTGTCATAATATAAAGTCACTGAATTAATAAACTGTGAACTAGATTTGAAAACAAAAGGCTCCTAGTAGCTAAATGTTCCCTTGCCTCAACTCCACAAGTCAGAGCCTTGCCTCAGGCCAGAAGTGGGGCTCAAGTCTTAGAGAGAGGCCCCCAGCTCTTAGCTAATCACAGTGGAATAAAAGGGGAATGTAAACTGCAGTGAAACAGACCTCAGTTTGTATCCTAGAGCTGCCATTCCTGGCTGTATGACTGTGGGTAAGTTCATGTCTTTGGAACTAAGTTTTCTCATCTATAAGATGGGGATTTTGACTTCCTTCAGAGGGGTTTTGCAAGGATTAAGTGAGTCAAGGTAAATGAAAGCATGGGGCTTGATGCTCTTTAAATATTCATCAAATTGGAAAAAAGGAAAAAGAAGGGCCTTCCTGCCCTAAGTGTCTTCTTCTACACACTTGTCACATCATGGCATTTGAAAGTCATTCCTTTGAAGGCGAAGACTCATCTCCTCCACAAAGGGAAATAATGATGAGTCATACACACCTTAGTGACACCCTGCAGCCTTGCAGTAGATTTCTTGAAAGAGGTGGATGTAGGAGAAACAAGCACCCCAAGGTAACAGGAGACCCGGAGAGGATGCTGGGTCATAATCACCCTTTTATAGTAATGTAGGTAATGCAATGAAGCTTTAATGAGCGTAATGTTGCCATTAACACTTATCTATACTAGGAAGTTTCAGATCAAGTATTTCATACATGCCTCCTAAACACTTGTCAAATCATCATGGTCATAAACCACAGAAACTGGAAATGGCTTTAGAGATCATTCTACCACATCTCTTCTAAAAATGACAAGTCTGAGGCCCATAAAGAAGGACGTTTTATGATTCTGGGGAGAACTATAAGAATCCACTAAATTCTGATGCTGCCTGGGAACAAGTGTTAACATTTACATCCAACTTCTTAGGGAGACACTGACTCACTGTCAACTCACACAGACCCGAACTACCACTTGGTCAGGGAAATCATTGCCATGTCACAGCTGGAGCCAAAGATGCATCAAGGCCTCAGGGCAACAGTGGTGGAGAGAACTCAGGCAGAGCCTTCCTGACATCCAGCCTCTCTCCATACAATGCCAGAGCCAAGAGCAAGATTCGACAGAAGCCCCATTCTCTGACATCCTGTTCACTGTTTACCTAACAGTGGCTTCTTGAGTTCAATTAACCTCCCCCTGATCTAGTCAAATGACTTTGTACACATAGCCATGGTCCCAAGCATACCCCTGGAGGTGGGCTCCATTACTGTCTTGCAAATACTCAGTCTCCTCTCTCCACCCAGTCATGGGAGGATATACTTCCCTGCCCCACTGATGTTGGCCTTTGACTAGGATTTTCTTTGGCAACTGGAATATACACAGAAGTGGCAAGGTACTAGCTCCAAGCAGAGGCTCTCAGAGCTCTCTTGCACTAGTTTCCTCTGCCATGAGAATATGGAGGCTCAGATAGATACCCCTTCATCCTGAATCCCAGAATGTGAAGATACATGGAGCAGATCTGAACCTAGTGACAATCTGGAGCAAACAGCAGCCACCCATGGCACCAACAGGCAGCATGAATGAGAAATACATAAATGTTGTAAAGCAACAAGAGTTTGAGATTATTTATACAGCATAACCCAGAGGCATATTTCTTCTACACTCTTCATTTGTCGGTTGTGATCCCTGAATGAAGACATATACCTATTTTCCTCTCTAATAATTGTTTCTGATCACATTCTCTGCACTTAGATCCTATGTCAAGTGCTTTACAATTTTTAGCTCATTGGATCTTCACAATGAGCTATAATTGAGATATTATTGTTCCCATTTTACAGATAAAAATTTAATGCTGAGAAAACCTGAGGGCTAAAAGCTGAAGGGATTGGCCTGTCTGAGACTTGAAACTAAGACCATCCCGGCCAGAGCCCAGGTTCTCACCACCACCACTCCAGACTGCTTCTTTGAGCACTGATGGAACTGGAACACACAGAAGCCCAGACACCCAGAACTTCTCCCCTACTCCCATATACATGCTATTTCCCAACAGAATATAATCTTTTTAATTTTAAATAGGCTTTTGGGAGAGGGAAAAAAATGACTTGTGGATCTTCAGAATAATCTAAGCAATCCCTCAGGCCCATTTTTAAAAGCAAGTTGAATTTTGAGTCTGCCCAAGGTTGGCACAGTCAATTCCATCATTCCCAAAGCCAGGTAGACCCAGCTTTTATAAAGTCTTCCAGCCCATTTCCCACTAAAGGCACAATGGTGTCTTGCAATGGCAATAACACTTCTCCCCTTGATTTACAGCCCTATCTATTCTAGCCACTCCTGATGGGCCATTCTCATCCCCGTGCTGTCTAACAGCCTTAGGGATTCTTCTCAGGCCATAATTTCTGAGTATTTCCACCACTCCCCTTCCCTGGCTCTGGAATTTCAGCTACTTTCCATTCAGAAAAAGATTGTTCCATTTATTCTCAGCTTCACGGTCTTTTTACATTTACCTACTGCTCAGCCAACCATTCTGATCAGGTATTTAAAGACCTCCCTACTTCTAACAAGTGACCCTGCTTCTTTTTCTCTTTGCTCTGAGTTTCTCTTTAACAGACTCAATATCACTTTATATATTTGTAGGCTTCTAACTCATTCCATTATTCTTTCCCTCTTATCAAGTAAGATAATGGATGCAGAAAGGCCGGGGAAATGATAAAGAGATGTATATCCTTTGCTATTGTTGTTTTCACAACTAACAACTTTCCAAGTTCGAATCACTGTGGTGAAATGTTAACTCTCACTCCTGTGAAGGTTCCTGGATTCATTCTCAGCTTCAAACAAACCAAACACCAGGTTTGAGGCTGTCCAGGTCTGAATTCTCTGGCGTACGTTGCTGCCTATGATAAGCAGGCTTCTGCCAGGCTTCCAGGTTGCTCAGTTACCTAGAATTCTGTTTGCATAGTATCTATAATAATAGGAATTAGCTCATTTAAGTGAAAGGAGCTTATCAGATTTCAAGAGCACTAACTCAAAAAGTTGCTTACATGGGGGGATTATGGAGTTGACAGACCTGGGTTCAAATTCAGCTCTGCCACTTATAAACAAAATGACCTTGACCTAGTTAGTAACTTCTCTGAGCCTCCATTTCTTCATCTGCAGTCTCTCCCTGGACTGGTATGAAGACTAAATTCAATAGTCCTATAAAAACCCTTAGTGGAGTGCCTGGTACATGAGAGCCATCCAACAAAAGTATGTGACTAATAATATTAATAAAGAAATGGAAGACTAGAAGTCATTACAAATAGTTTAAATGCTTATAAGCTTTCAGGATGAAAGTGATATCAAGGACCTGAACTCTTTTCTTACAGTAGAAGATCAAGAAACTCAGAAAGAACTTAGTTGTCCTGGTCTGAAAGCTCTGAGAACAGGGGCCACAACCATCTGCATCCCCTTCCCTGTGCCTGGCTCACTGCAGGCACTCAGTGAGTATTGGCTGCTGTTGTGGATGGTGTTGTTGGACTCCATACAGCAGCACAGCATGATGGCTGACGGCAGGTGCTGAAAGTCTGTGAGCTCTGAGCAAGAACCCAGCCCTACTACTTGGGCAAATGACTTAGTCTCTCTAAGTCTCTGTGAAATGGAAAAAGCATCCACACTTTCCTCACAGGACTGCTTAGAAGGATTATATGAGAAATGAAGGCAAAATCCAATTCAAAACAAAACAAAACACAACACAACAAAAAATAACCAATTAAGTGTTAGCTCCTAAACTCTTCGTAACTTATCTAAGATCATCTAATTAATTAGTGGGAGAGCAACAACAGCCCAAGTAGCATGACTTCTAGCCAGAATATTTTCTTCTATCATTCTTATTCCTAAGCACTTTTTTAATGCAGTATATTCTTTATATGCCCAGACTCTTTTCTGAAGACTTAATATCAAGGGTTATCATTATCCATAATGTGTTTTTGAATCAGGTCTTAAAACTTAATGTGGCTTTTATGCCTGGAGATAAGGTGGGATTTGGGGTTGGCAAGTTACAGTGGCACACACAAGTGGCCACTGGTTGATCCTAATTCTCTAGAATGATTTAAAACCTTAATTAGCCCTGAAAGTTATTATTTGGGACAGCCTCCACCTTGCCATTTTGCACTGTGAATGAGTGACAATCTGGGGAGACAGAG